TACCAAAACATCCTCGTTAGTGGCACGTCACGACGCTTACCCCAAAACTAAAAGATATCTATTACTTTAGATACCTCTCAGTACAGCAAATGGAGAACTGTCCTCGTAACATTAATCAGTGTCGAATTTATACCTATTAACTATTTGCTGAATTTGCTATTTATTTAATTCGACACAATTAATGCAGGTCGGTAAGAGTTCAACGTCTATGTTTTTGTTATGAATAGTATACAATATTATTTACTTAAGGATATATTTACATTTAAGAGATTATTGAGATTTTTTATTAACGATGATTATTTTTATTCTAGGATTTATTTAAAAGTATGATAATTTATTTTAATGAATTTTAATAATGATTTTTTTAATATTTTACTGGACGTGACAATATCTAGGATAAGTGAAGAAAAATTATTTAGGAATGTTACAAATTTATGTAATTTCATATTTTACAGCAACATTTCCAGACATTAATCATCCTGGGCAATTCGATTCTTCTATTTGGTTTCATCAGATTATGCTTAAGTTAGAGATTTTCTCAAAAGAACTATTCCTAATCGCTGGATTTAACTCATATGGATTTTTTTGGTCTGGGGTACTTAAACAGTAAAACAGTGAAAGATCTTAAAGAGAGAATTTAAATAGAAATTTAACGAATTTTACCAGAGATGTCAAACTTAACCCAATAATTCATCAGACGTCTTGAATATTTTTAACTGACCGTATTTCGAGCATTTATTGGAAATATGATTATTTTTACTCATACTGACTTTTTATTTTAAACTAAATAGTGAAAAAAATATTAATAAATATAAGCGGTTTCCTCTATACTCGGTTTACTGCAACTTAAAGTGTTACCTAAGACGTTTGTGGTATGGTTGAAAATATCTCCTTTCGGTATAAAAAAAATATTGATTGCAAGGTAGTGGGGGTTAAAATTGACTTAAAGAAAATTGAAAAATTATATAAAAATCGATGTTCGAAAACAATGAACACGTAAGCTAATGGGGGTATTTGCACACTTTCTGAACGTACTGTATAAAATTCAAAATTATAAAATATATTAAAATAAAAATAGATTTAGACAATTCAAAAAGACTTTGGTAAATAATTTATTACAAAATTCAGTGGACATGGTGAAATGCATGTTTAAAAATTAAAAAATAATATGGTGTTTAACTGATTTTATGTTTTACTTTTCTGTATTAATGTACCATGTTAGTCATGTCCTTAATATTTAAAAAGTAATAACTAAATTATTATTTTAAATATTGATACACCTAGTTCCACCTATAAGCCGGAGAACGAACTTCATGTATTGATATAATAGTTGTCTACCGATTAAATGCTATGCATTTGAGGCAAAATAATGTTCCCTCGGTTTAGCTTCGCTTGAGGACACGGGTGTTTTATTTTTTGAATTGTCATGTCGCCGTTAAAAGAATTTTGCGGGATCAGTAGATTTAGTTAACTTAAGAAAAGCTGTGTTACAATAGCTTTGGAATAAATTAGTTTTTTGTTACTTTCATTAGAAACAAATGTTTTGTTGAAAATTGAAGAACGACTTATCAGGTTTGTTCCAACAAGGAATCCATGACCGATCCGAAATTAATCTCTGATTTGTTTATTGCGCAGGCGTGACTACTGTACTGTTTGTGTACTGTTTTCTGACTATTCGCGATTCAAGCTAAGTGATACGCCCTCTGGAGGAAATTTGTAGAAGGTCCCTACAAGTAGGATATCGTTCATTGATGCCAGAAGTAGCAAAATTTCACTACGTCGTCGGATTTTAGCTCTTGAAGAAGTGGATAAGACCTTTTATTTAAAAATCAAAATTTGTGTATGTAATCATACTCTATATTTATTTAAGGATTTTTTATAAAGCCGATTTATTATATTGATTTTTTTTTAAATTTCAGTTCATTTATTAATTTTGTTTTAAAATCAGTTCATCATTTGGCAACATTGGGTGTTCATGTTCATTGTTTACATTTTAATTTGTATCAATTACAATTCGAGTTTTTTCTTACTTTTTAGCTTTAAATTTGTTTATTTCTTATAGTATGTGATAGTGTTTATATTAAAAATGAAATCTGCGAAGAAGTCCCCAGCAAATTGCAATCTATATGGTGTTAATGTCAAAATCAAAACTGAATTATTCATTATTTTCCAAGTGCAAGTCGTAAAATTTTGTTTTTTTTACGATAAATGGATATCTACAAATTCAAAATATTGAAATTCTGCAAATCTTTATTTATAATCAAACTGTAATCTGATTTGTGACGGTTTTACTACCATTTACATGTATACAAAGTTCTACATAATTCACTTCATAATATAAGAATAAGTCTAGTAAGATTTTTAAATAAGTTCATCAATAATAAACGTTTGGTAACTGGAATGTCCTTTAAACCACATAATAAAACATGCCTTGGGTTTAGTAAATACATATTTCTAGATGTTCTTGTAGCAACCAATAGGTGAACATTTCCAACAAATACACATGATATATATTATATTTATGACGAAAGCACAAGAACTAAAATTAACACTGATTGTAAATGAAACTCAAGAACACTATTACAATGAGAATATTATCTAAAAATAGTTAAAAAAAACCACAAATACCAAATCCACCCAAAACAAACAAATGTAAATAAACAAACATCCTACTTATACCTAGGTGACAAATGACAGGCGCACGAAAATTAATTTGAATCGCGAATAGGTATTTTTTAGCGAGTGTATGGTTTAAAATATTTTCGACTGTTTTAAACCATTTAAATTTTAGCGATGCAACTATGACGTCGCGTACGAAATATTTTAAACCAAAGCTAGAATTTTTGAACCAGTCGGAGGCATATGGTTCAATAACGGTTGACACATTAGAGATTTTGATTTTGGCTGTTGTATGTTATTTTGCTCTGTTCCATCTTTGAACATTTTGATATATTTGACGTTTTGTTGATTTTTATTGATTTTTGATAACTTCATACATATATTATGTGATTCATATTCATACATTAATTGGTTATAATGTTATAATACAAATATGTATGGTCACCATAAACAGTTGGACGATGTGATCTACCTAAAGGTTACTCTTGATTATGAAACAATAATTCAATTAAAATAAGGTTAAAGGATTACTTATCAGTTGTACGTTTTTTGCAAACATAATTACGTAGTTTGCTTTAGATTCTGAATTTGCCAGTAAATATTTAAAAGCAATTAAACGTTCTTTGGCAGTTGATGAACTTTGAAAAGCCCAAAAAATCTACAGCACATAATCGTTAGACAATCGCGTATCTGTTGGAGCTACGGAATAAATATGATGCCATGTTTATTGACAAGAAAAATACCAAAATAAAATAATAAACGACATTTCAGATTGCAATGTACCTATTAAAAACACTTTAATTTTTACTTAAAATCGGTATTACTCATCTTCCTTCATCTGATTTAACAAGCATTAAAAGAAAATACGTTCGAAATCAGAATTATACCTAATTAAAAATTTTGTCCTATGACAGCTGGTTATATTTTTAAAACACCCTATTTTTGCCATCTATTAATTCATGACGTCACTTTAAATATGGTTTAAAAAATATTTTAAACCAATGTGGTGGCTAAAAAACAGCTTAAATTCTTGTTGGAACGCAATTAGGCATTCCAACGACCTGTCAAACAATAGGTGCCAGTGGGAAATTCTTGTATATTTAAGGGGGTAGCGACATAGTCTTGCAACTTGGACGCTATTTTTATTCGAAGTAGTACTCGCCAAGCCTGCCAATTTATGAAGAAATGTATAGGTGGGTTTTTTAAATATTACTTTTATTGTATTTGGACATAAAATATTTCAATGTAATTCATTATTCATGATTTTGCGTTAAGTAGATAGAATATACCATATGTCGCCACCCTTAGATATACCAAACCTGCCCACTGGTAATTCATTTGTTTGGAATGCCTAATTAGGCATTCCAACGACCTGTCAAACAATAGGTGCCAGTGGAAAATTCTTGTATATTTAAGGGGGGTAGTGACATAGTCTTGCAACTTGGACGCTATTTTTATTCGAAGTAGTACTCGCCAAGCCTGCCAATTTATGAAGAAATGTATAGGTGGGTTTTTTAAATATTATTTTTATTGTGTTTGACATAAAATATTTAAATGTAATCCATTATTCATGATTTTACGTAAAGTAGATAGAATACACCATATGTCGCCACCCTTAGATATACCAAACCTGCCCACTGGTAATTCATTTGTTTGGAATGCCTAATTCTGACTGCCAAGTGTCATCACGCTTGTCAAATGTCAATTATATTTTTTATTCCACACCGTGTTTTTATTTTTAGTTTTATCATAGTAGATCCCTCTGAGTTTTATCTAAAAATTGTATTAGTTCAATCCGCCGTCGAGATCCAGATAAATATTTAACAAATTAGAATAGGAAGACAATTAGTCTAATTATGAACAATTTGGAAGGTAATAAAATGGTATATTTTTTTGACATTTTTTCTAAATATGTATTTTTTCCTTGCAGAATTAATAGAGTTTTTAATTCTACCAGAATCACAAACTGAAGAAAATTAATACAGGTTTTGGACAGTTGAACATACAAACATGTTAATAGAGTTGTATGGTAGAGTTGTATGGGTCATATAGGAAAAAATTGGGAAGTTTTGAAATTAAAAGCGTTAAGAAGCTGTGGGAAGTGATTTTCAAAAAGTTAAATGAAACTTTTAGCATCAATTCGACCCCCAACAATGTCGAAAATAGGTGGCGGGTCCTTGATCGAAACTTTAAGAAGTATGTAGACAACAATAAACAAACTGGAGGAGGCCGTAAGATATTTCCATATGCTCAACAAATGGAGGAAATCTTGCGCAAAAAAAATATTAGACCCGAAATATTGCTTTCATCAACAACAATAGATGAAATATTTGACGGCGCCAGTAATAATCAGGAGAATAAAATTCTTGTGCTGATTCCAAATGAAAAACACAAAACAAAAAAAAGCAAGCAAAATATTAGTCAATAGAAATGCTATCTTAGATGAAATAAGAAAAGATAGGAAAGAATATCAAAGCAAAAGATTAAAAATAGAAGGAGAAAAAATAGAAATCCAGAAACAAAAAGTAAAAGAAATTAAACGTAGAAATGACTTTTTAGCGGAAAGAAACGATTTGATCAAAACTTTAACTGAGGGTGGAGAGTCTTCATTTACCTCTTTATTGTAAATATTTTAGTTTTAATTCCTTAAAAAGGCTGTTTTTTTTTGTTTTTATTATACATTTTTTTATAAATAAAAGTATTTTATTTAAATAATAAAATGTATTTTGCCTAATCGGGCACGGTGGTGTAGCGGTCTGTCGCGCTTATATTCATTTATAGGCAAGTTTATGAGTCTGAGACTGCTGGGTTTCGAATCCCAGACCAGACCATGTGGATTTTTAATTAAATTGCATGGTTCGGTTTAGGATTTGATGTGTGGCGTATTAATAGAAATTCAATTTCTGTTGATATGACATGCAGATTTAAAAAATTCGCCATACATTACCGTCTCGATGATGGTGGGTGAGGTTTTCCGGGTTTTCCTCACCTGTAAGTCAAATGGCACCATCAATCATCTTTAAGTCGCCCCGGAGCGCCACGGCAAATAATAATAATAGCCGTCCCTTTCCCCGGACAAGCTCAGCTTTTGGGGTTAAAATTCACTCGTAAGGGGGTGAATTAGTGAGAGTATTATTATTATTATTATTATTATTATTATTGTAAATATTTTAAGTTTTGTTTCTTAAAAGGCTGATTTTTGTTTTAGTTCCTTAAAAAGCTGATTTTTGTTTTTAAGTTTTAGTTCCTTAAAAGGCTGATTTTTATTTTGTGTTTAAGTTGTGTTTATTTTGTTATTAGCTACCTACTTATGTATTTACTTTTCAATATATATTTTTGAATAGGTTCTGTTTTTTTTGTTTGTTAAATACCTAGGTACTATAATTTAAATAAGCAAGAAATAAAATCAAGTCCAAAATGCTAAAACAGTTTTTATTGTATTAATAAATGTACATAAATAAGAACTAGTTTTAAAGGCTGCATAGAAGGAGTAAATTATACTAAAAATAATTGTACAAAGGTAGGTAAATTAAAAATAATTATAATATATTTACAATACGATTCCTAATTTCTATTGGATTCCTGTCTTGCTCAATATCTTCTATATCGTCATTTTCAATATGTTCGTGAATTGGTTCCTCTAAAACTTCTTGGTTGAAATTTAAATTGTCCCCAAGACATATATGTGAAGAACAACACAGGCTCTATACCATGTCCCTGATACCGTTCATTTTAGAGAAATTATGTAGAGGATGAAAATTATAGAGAATTATATTACAAACAACTTTTGGTTGAACAATTTTTATAAAAAAATATTTTTTTACATTTTGTCAAATTTCTCGAATACGGACCATTTTAGGAAAATTTTGTATAGAACAAAAATTTTAGGTAGTAATATAAGAAGTAACTTTTATTTGAAGAAATTTTCTTCCCAAAAAACGTAAATAACAGATATATTCTATAAAATATAAAAATTACCACCCATAAAGTACCCCCCAGATGTTCCGACTCTACCCAAAATTGTAGGTCAAGATTATGACGGTTGTTCAACAATGGCTGGACAAATCGACCGGTGTGAAGATAGCAGCCAATTTCAGCAGCCACAATTTCCGGAAACGCACGATTGGGCATTTCAGTGGCGTACAAGCTAAACATGACAAAAATTAAAAAAAGATATTACAAAAAAGACAACGCTTTAATAATTTTATAATTTTCATTAGATATTCATAATTTTGAAGTAAGCTGAACATAAAAAAAAACGGAATTAATAAAAACGATTTCAGTTTCCGATTTCATTTTTGGCATTTAAATAGCAAATGATAAGTAATATGGTTAAAAGAAAAATTGCTCCCAAACAGTCAAAGGGGTTGATTTCTCACCCCTAATAATAAATAAATTCATAATTCCTAAAGTAAATGAAAAGCCAAATTCATATTTAGCACATAAAAAGAAAATGGCTAGTAATATATACAGTTAAAAGGAAAATCGCTTCCGAAAGGGTTGATTTCTCAATCCTAATATTTAATAAAATCACAATTCCTAAAATAAATAAAAAACCAACTTCATATTAATCAATTAAAAAGCAAGGGGCCAGTACTATAAACAGTTAAAAGGAAAATTGCTTCCGAACGGTCAAAAGGGTTGATTTTTACCCCCAAATATTTAAAAAAATTATAATTCGCAAAATAAATGAAAAGATATATTCATATTTAGCAATTAAAAAGTAAATGGCCAGTTCTATATACCAGTTAAAAGGAAAATTGCTTCCGAACGGTCAAAGGGGTTGATTTTTACCCCCAAATATTTAAAAAAATTATAATTTCCAAAATAAATGAAAAAGACATATTCATATTTAGCAATTAAAAAGTAAATGATTAGTTCTATATATAGTTAAGAGGAAAATTGCTTCCCAACGGCCAAAGGGGTTGATTTCTCAACCCTAATATTTAAAAAATTCATAATTCCTAAAATGAATGAAAAGCCAAATTTATATTTAGCACTTAAAAAGAAAATTGCTAGTACTATAAACAGTTGAAAGGAAAATTTCTTCCAAACGGTCAAAGCTGTTGGTTTCTACCCCCAAATATTTAAAAAAATTATAATTCCCAAAATAAATGAAAAGTCAAATTCATATTTAGCAATTAAAAAGTAAATGGCTAGTTCTATATAGAGTTAAAAGGAAAATTGCTTCCGAACGGTCAAAAAGGTTGAATTTCTTAACCCTAATATTTAAAAAAATCATAAAAATAAATGAAAAGCCAAATTTATTTTTGGCACTTAAAAAGATAATTGCTAATACTATATACAGTCAAAAGGAAAATTGCTTCCGAACGGTCAAAGGGGTTGATTTCTACCCCCAAATATTGCTTTTTTAATTGCCTAATATGAACTTGGTTTTTTATTTATTTTAGGAATTATGATTTTAATAAATATTATAAATAACATTATTATTAACTCATTTCAGGTTAGTATACAAACGGACTAACTTACTATCCTAACTGTCTTCCTCAACTCACTTAGAACTTTGTCGTACGCCACCCTGATCATCAATAATTATTATTCGTAAATTATTAACTAACATGGCCATGATTAAAACAGCGATGCGTGAAGGGGATATTTATCAACAAGCTTTGGCTCAGATAATCCAGTTAGGTTTTCACTTTGTTAAAGTTTCAAAATTATATTCCCAAGGTATCATAACATCCGGTCCAGTTTATATAATATCCCGTGTGGCTGGTTAACCTACCCATTTATTGTTAATTCGATTATTCGACTAGGTACAATTATTCCATCTGGATGAACACCTTTTTACTTCGTTTATTGATTGCCAAAGAGCCATCGACTCTGTCGTCAAACTCTGATCCGAGCTGAGCTGAGGGTGTTAGTTAGATTTTTGTTTCTGTGGTGTATACGTTGTGTTTTTAACATTGGACTAAATACGTTTAAAAATTGGAATCAAAAATCTGTTATTATGATATTTTCTAAGGAATTTTTCAGGGTAAGTCGTAGAAATATTAGAAGGGAGTCAAGCAAAGCATTGTCAACTAATGATCTATGTTTGCCAAAATTTTAGATTTAATGTTGCTATATTTTGTATCGAGTGCAATAATAGTAGTAGTTTATGTTACCAGGGCCTAAAGTTAAGTTTTTCGGACGACTATGCTAGGCGAGACGTAGTCGTAGGAGTCCGAAAAAAAAACACTTTTCGTCCATGTTTCATACATTGTTTATTATACGAATGTACTTAGATATTAAAAAATTCAAATATATAATATTAATAATTCATCAAGTTTCAGTAAAGTGTAAATATATACAGATATATGTAGATGAAAAGGTGAAGTTCGGCTTGTGCTGATTTACAGCTTAACATAAATAACATAAAAATATAATAATATAATATAGAAAAAAGTATAAAAAATATAAAAAAATAAACAGATTTTTAAAACCAAATTCGTTGCATTATGCAATATATTTTTTTTATGACTATTGCTTATTGTACAAAGATTCTTTTAGGCGTTTCTAGAAATTAAGCAAGTTGTATGATTTAGGGCCAGTCTTTTCACCTCTGAGTAAAGTTGAAAGTAACTACTTGCTGATTAAACTATAGGGCTATTGTTTGTTAATCTGTCAAGTAAACCTTTATGTAACTTTACTCAGAGGTGAAAAGATCGGCCCTTAATTTAATTTGTAAATTTATTGCACTCTTTATATGCAACATACGAAAAAAATCTTTTAAATAGAGCCTTGTAATGATTCGGTACCACCAAGGTCATTCTATTCCGCGTAGAAAAATTCATTAATATTGGAAAATGTCTTTATTTTTTTAACTAAATAATCAGGTTTTTGTATGAATAAAACTTTGTGAACTTGGGTTAATAAATGCAAAAGGCGATAGTTATTGAAAGTCAACCAACCTGATTCTTTCATTTTATTTGAGATATGATCAAATTTCAAATTCTATAGGCAAAACGTAGACAGCTATTCTAAATTTTTTTGTAAACGAGCGGAATCGGATTAGAGTAAGGCTGGACCGTAGATAGAATCACAATAATTGAATTTGGAAAAAATGAGAGATTCACAAAGTTTAAGTTTGAGTTGTGTAGAAAGCAGTTAATTGGCATAATAATAGTAATGTTTATTTGAAAATATAAAAGTCATGTCATATTAGATTTAACTTGATATGTTAATAGAGGGAAACAATAGAAGTTTTTTTAGTGTATCATATACAGGGTGTACCAATAAAAAACTCCCAGGCCGGATATTTTGGTAAGTAATATAGATATTTTTAATTATGTAAAAGCCAGTTCATAGAGCGCTAAGATAGCTTCAGTTTTAGATATAAATTGATTTTTAAATAGGTCAATATGTAGGTGGCGCTGCGCTTAATAATTATTTTTCGATGGGAGGATCTTTCTTATGTAGCGCATCTTGTAAAAAAATGCATTTTTAAGCAAATTTTGTTTTATGAACTAATTCGATAAATCAAGGC